CTTAAGAAAGTAGGAACACTACAACAGGCCTCTTGGCCCATACTAGGCAGGTCCTTCACAAATCCAACCCACTAACAGAACAAATGCTACCCAAGCAATAAGCTCAGGTGCAAGTCCGACTCAAATTCAATCCCTCTCACTCGTGTATTTATCCAACCTAAATTTGAAACTACCCAATGTTTTAGCTTCGATCACCCTACTAGGCAGACCATTCCACTCATCAACTACCCCTATTACCAATGTTCATTTATACATTTTATTAGTGCTTTACATTTATTTGGCATTTTTTTCTGCATGTAAATCTATATTTATGCTAGGGAAGTGACCCCTGAAGTGACCTAGAGTCCTTATGGAGGGGGATTCCCCTTCCAAACAATAACCTCTCTTCCCTCTCTCCTCCTCCCTGTCTTCCATTCATCAACAACAGCCTTCAATAAAGGTAACTGTCATGTTGAATGTTCATTCTTTTGTGCACGTAAATCTATCTTTAGGTAAAAAAAAAAATGTTGTTGATACTTCTGGGTGTCTGGAACGAATTAATTGGATTTACATTATTTCTTATGGGGAAAATTGATTCGAAAATCGTCTATTTCAATAATAGTCCCACCTCCAGGAACGGATTAAGGACGATAATTGAGGGACTACTGTATTTTGCCAGGCCTCCAGACAAACTTGTCCACCGCCGATTCCGCCCATACCACCACATGATATATTTTATTCATTTTAGAGTATATATCAGGTTTGTATATTTATATTGTTTATTATGTCATATTAGATGAAGTGAGATAGATAAGCCGTAGAGTTGATATTAACGAAATTATTGAAGTACAGAATTCCACTGGAACAGATTAATTGCATTTCAATTAATTTAAATGAGGAAAATTAACTCTGCAAACGAGCAAATCCAGTTGTGAGCAAGGTCATGGAATGGATTAAACTTGCAAGTAGAGGTTCCACTGTACAGTAGGACCCCGCTTTACAGCATTTCACCTTACAGCATTCTGCTAATACGGCGATTTCAAACTATGACCAAAATTTGCTATATGGCAAGACGTCTTTCAAATACGGCTCGCCAAACCCGGTTTGTTTACATTCTCCATGACCACATGTATTATGTCAGGAAACTTTCCAAAATTTCAAGTGCTTTAAAGTTACTGCATATTTTATATGTTTTTTTTTTTTCCAACAAGTCGACCGTCTCCCACCGAGGCAGGGTGACCCAAAAAAGAAAGAAAATCCCCAAAAAGAAAATACTTTCATCATCATTCAACACTTTCACCACACTCACACATTATCACTGCTTTTGCAGAGGTGCTCAGAATACAACAGTTTAGAAGCATATACGTATAAAGATACGCAACATATCCCTCCAAACTGCCAATATCCCAAACCCCTCCTTTAAAGTGCAGGCATTGTACTTCCCATTTCCAGGACTCAAGTCCGACTATATGAAAATAAACGGTATCCCTGATTTTTTTTTTTTTTTTCAACAAGTCGGTCGTCTCCCACCGAGGCAGGGTGACCCAAAAAAAAGAAAGAAAATCCCCAAAAAGAAAATACTTTCATCATCATTCAACACTTTCACCACACTCACACATTATCACTGCTTTTGCAGAGGTGCTCAGAATACAACAGTTTAGAAGCATATACGTATAGAGATACACAACATATCCCTCCAAACTGCCACTATCCCAAACCCCTCCTTTAAAGTGCAGGCATTGTACTTCCCATTTCCAGGACTCAAGTCCGACTATATGAAAATAACCGGTTTCCCTGAATCCCTTCACTAAATATTACCCTGCTCACACTCCAACAGATCGTCAGGTCCCAAGTATCATTCGTCTCCATTTACTCCTATCTAACACGCTCATGCACGCTTGCTGGAAGTCCAAGCCCCTCACCCACAAAACCTCCTTTACCCCCTCTTTCCAACCCTTTCGAGGACGACCTCTACCCCTCTTTCCTTCCCCTATAGATTTATATGCTTTCCATGTCATTCTACTTTGATCCATTCTCTCTAAATGACCAAACCACCTCAACAACCCCTCTTCTGCCCTCTGACTAATGCTTTTATTAACTCCACACCTTCTCCTAATTTCCACACTCCGAATTTTCTGCATAATATTTACACCACACATTGCCCTTAGACAGGACATCTCCACTGCCTCCAACCGTCTCCTCGCTGCTGCATTTACCACCCAAGCTTCACATCCATATAAGAGTGTTGGTACTACTATACTTTCATACATTCCCTTCTTTGCCTCCATAGATAACGTTTTTTGACTCCACATATACCTCAACGCACCACTCACCTTTTTTCCCTCATCAATTCTATGATTAACCTCATCCTTCATAAATCCATCCGCCGACACGTCAACTCCCAAGTATCTGAAAACATTCACTTCTTCCATACTCCTCCTCCCCAATTTGATATCCAATTTTTCTTTATCTAAATCATTTGATACCCTCATCACCTTACTCTTTTCTATGTTCACTTTCAACTTTCTACCTTTACACACATTCTCAAACTCATCCACTAACCTTTGCAATTTTTCTTTAGAATCTCCCATAAGCACAGTATCATCAGCAAAAAGTAACTGTGTCAATTCCCATTTTGAATTTGATTCCCCATAATTTAATCCCACCCCTCTCCCGAACACCCTAGCATTTACATGTACTTCTTTTACAACCCCATCTATAAATATATTAAACAACCATGGTGACATTACACATCCCTGTCTAAGACCTACTTTTACCGGGAAGTATTCTCCCTCTCTTCTACACACCCTAACCTGAGCCTCACTATCCTCATAAAAGCTCTTTACAGCATTTAGTAACTTACCACCTATTCCATATACTTGCAACATCTGCCACATTGTTCCTCTATCCACTCTATCATATGCCTTTTCTAAATCCATAAATGCAATAAAAACTTCCCTACCTTTATCTAAATACTGTTCACATACATGCTTCAATGTAAACACTTGATCTACACATCCCCTACCCACTCTGAAGCCTCCCTTCTCATCCGCAATCCTACATTCTGTCTTACCTCTAATTCTTTCAATTATAACCCTACCGTATACTTTTCCTGGTATATTTTATATGTATTCTGATAATTATACTTATGTGTACCTGTACCTAAATATACTTACACACTGTGCTGTTGCGCAGGTACATATTAAAATCACTAAGAGTCTCTCTACTCATGACGCCAATACTACATAATAATAATTACTCTTGGGCACACTAAATGTCTTATTTTACATTAATATAGGCATTTTCATTAATCCATCTATGATATTTTCCTCAAAATTATATATGAAACCCGTTACATAGCATATAAACATGCTACATACACGCACAGAATAAAAATTGACATAAATAGTATGAGATTTGTTTACAAAGTGGCTGTGTAGGTAGTGTCGGAAGAATTACGTTTTCTCTAGTGAAACTGGGGGATAACTGTAGAAAAATATTCTTTTCGCATGCCTTCACTATATATATAGCAATTCACGACCCTTGTGGGTATAGTGATTTTTATTATGATAATAATGATAATAATGATGATAATAATAATAATAATAATAATAATAATAATAATAATAATATCTTCATTCACTCTAAAAATGGTGTATTGCTGTTTGTTTATTCTGTACTAACTTGTACAACTTGTACACAATGTAAGAGTATTTGTATTGTGAGGTAATTATTATTATTATAATAAAAAAAATATTGAGGTAAATGTTTTACAAACTCTTACAAAGATACATGAATGAACTAAAAGTAGACACACATTAATACGCATTTATTTCACCTGACCAAGTGATCACCCACTACCTGTTCAGTTTGTCTTCTTACATTGTCTGAACTCAGTATCTCGTTCTCTCTCTCTTGTTTACTCTTTCATTAACTAGTTGGCTCTCGTTGACGATGGCGTCTAAGCTTAGCTGTGATAAAAAGAGGACTCGTAAGCCTCTTGCTTTAAGTGCCAAGTTAGAGGATGATGGTGTGCCATTCTGATTTTATTCAATAAACACCCTGCCACTCGCCTCTCACATATTAATATTAATATTTTAAGGCAAGTAAAAAGTATACTCTGTGTGCACACTTAATATAAGTTAGTGTAAACTTGTTGTCTGGCATTTATTGCATATTTTATATGTGCTCTGATAATAATACTTGTGGACCTGTGTGGTAGCTGGCCGGAGGGACAACATTACATTTTCTCTGCTCAGCCATCAGAGAAAACGTTGAATGTGCGGTTGGCCCAGCCACTCCCCCACTCCGCTTTTTTTTACAATTTTCGGCATGAATTATTCATTACCGCTCCCTTCATTTATGATGGCATCTAAAGGTAGTTGCTAGAAATGATTAAATTCAGTGAACAAGGTATGTCGATGTTAATAATATGGCTCTGGGTGACAGTGTAAGTAGCCGGTAGGTGTAGCCCAGGCGGGTTACACCTACCGGCTACCTACACTGACTTCCTACAAATAAATACTACTCACCTCTCTTTCTATAGTATTAAGACTACACATATTTTAAGGTAAATAATGACTGTACTGTATGTGTATTTTAACTCTCTAGGATGTTTTAAATATCGTATATAAGTATGAGACGAGGAGCCAGGGGTACCTACACCTGGGCTACCTGCACCTGACTTCCTACAAATAAGTGTACTACTCACCTCTCTCCCTACATTAAGATTACAAATACTTTAAGAGAAGTAATGGATGTACTGTGAATGTATTTTACTTTGTGTGTTTTTAATGCCTAGTTCTATTACTAACTTAATATAATTTAGTGTAAACTTGTTGTCTGGTATTGATATGCAATTAAAAATGGAAAAAATGGCGTTCTGCCTTCCGGCAATGTCTGCTTTCCGGCGACAACCTGGAACCTAACCCGCCATTTAAGTGGGGTCCTACTGTACTCTGAATATTCAAATCTTGATTCAATTAGAATATCAATACCATATAAAATAATGGGGAACTTACAAATTCTGATAAAGGGCCAGTCGACTACGTTTTGCACGTGAAGCATTTATAGCTGTACTACGCACCAGCCCTGGCAGGACCTTGTGAGCAACAATTGCTCCATCAAATAAAGGTCCGAAAAATGGAACCTAAAAGAGAAAGATGCAATAATGTATCTATGGTGGAGTATAAGATAAACTTGTGGTCATTAAAAAATGTAAATTTCAGTGACGTATTTAAAAATAATTATACAGCCCAATGCTAAAGGTAATATTAACCCTTTGACTGTTTCGGTTGTATATATATGTCTTAGGCGCAACTGTTTCGGATGTATTTATACACATATATTCTAGCGACTTCAAATCAAGCGGGAGAAAGCTGGTAGGCCCACATGTGAGAGAATGGGTCTGTGTGGTCATTGTGCACCACATAAAAAAAATCCTGCAGTGCGTAATGAGAAAAAAAAAAACTGACCGTTTTTTTGGATTAAAATGCCGACTTTGAGGTGTATTTTGGTATAGTATTTATCGTTGTATTCTCATTTTCATGAACTCAGGTGATAAAATGGGAAACATATTACAGAAATAGAGATGTTTTTAATTGGTTTCACAATGAAAAGTACCTTGAAATTGAGCTCAAAGTAGCAGAAATATTCGATTTTTTCCAATATTCAGGAGTAAGCAAATCACACCACATGTCCAATACATGTCAACTGGGGAGTCTAATATTCTTTCACTAATGCACTGATATTATTAATACCCTTTTTACAATAATGCAGTAGTCTGCATAACAGTAAATTTTGTACTTTTTGTATGAATAAAAAATCAAAATATAAAGCAACAGTAATATAAGAGGGGCCTAGAGACGTGATTAACGAACAGAGGATATGTTATTTTAGTGCCAAAAATGTCTACATTGTTTATTCTGGACCCTATTTTGAAATTGGCATCTTTTTTAATTTGCATGAAATTGGCCAAATTGCCAATTTCTGACCACTTTATTAGGTAGTTCAAATCGGTAAATAAGCGGTTTCTTGTACTCAACTGATAGAAAAAATGGAGTTCTAAAGAAATAGCTACAAGTTTGGTCAACTGGAACAACGGAATTGGCCAAAAACAGGGCTCAAAGTCAGCAAAATCGCTGATGCGTATATGTCGCCGAGATCGCTAACTTCGTGGGAGTGTAATTCCATGACTTTTCGACCAAATTTCATACTTTTGGTGTTATTACCATTGGGAAAAGATTCTCTATCATTTCAAAAGAAAAAATAATTTTTTTTCCCAAAAATTTTGCGACATAGAATGACAGTTTCAGAAAGGGGCTGTCGACAGTCAAAGGGTTAATGCTTAATTTCTTTTTATCAAGAAACATCTTCCTTGATTTTAGCATTAAAAACAAATGTATTAAAACTTAGACAAATGTAAGACTAAGTAAACAATGAGAGAGAAGAAAGTTATGAAATTCTCACATTAAGACCTACAATTTCTTCCCTGCCAAAAAACTAATTTCTTATTTCATATTAGCAAATACTTTCTGAATCTATGATGACATTATGCTTTAAATGTAAATTAACAAATATTTCCTCATGGCATTACTAAACTCTTTCATGTAATATTTTAGCTGCTAAACAGCACCAAGATAAAAACAAAATTGACTAATTCAAAACACTATGTCTTGTGAGCTGAGAATAAAGAGTATTAATCTAGCACAATATTAGTTGACTATAAAGTTTATTTCATAAGACAAGGCAACAACAAATCAAAACACACAGTTCTCACTTACATCAGATTTAGTAGAAATCTGTATTCTGTAGAGCCTGTTAGGCAGTGGGTAAATAACAATCAGTACATCACAGAATTCAGTTGGAATGATGCCTCTCCGATAGTCACGTATGTGTTCAGACCATACAATGTGAACCTCATCATTGCCCAAGTGGCGAGTCTGAAAAATTTGTTCATATTAGTGGAAAGAACATTTAATTACTAAACATGCCTGCACTCTGAAGGAGGGGTGGGGATGCTGCAGTTCAGAGGGCCTTTTGAATTGTGATGTCTTTGCACTTCTGAAAAGAGAGCTATATTACCCTTTCACTATCGAGACCCCTGATCACGAACTTGCTCTGTGTTGACAAATATTAAAAAAAAAAAAAAAATATGATTTTTTCTTACCAAAATCTTAAGAATATTTTCCTGAGGGTTTTAAAAGGAAAAAAAAATGTGATCAGTAGTAACCGATATATAGAGGCACGAAGTTGACAGAAAGTGAACCATTGACAGCAACATCGGCAAATGCCGGTCACTTGGTAATATTATTTTTACTTTTATTCTATTTTTCCTTTCTTTCCTAATATTTTATTTTTTCAAGTAACTTTTGTGACCTGTGAAACCAATATAATGCATAATGTATATACAGTATATCCACTTCTTGGCACCCTGCTGCCAATCCCAGATGTAGTCTGCTGGTGGGTACTGGATACTGACAGGTAGTTGTGCTTGTGCTGGTTGTTGTGGTTGTGGTTGTGCAAGGTGTTGTGGTTGTGGTTGCACAGGCTGTTGTGGTTGTGCAGGTTGTTGTGGTTGTGCAGGTTGTTGTGGTTGTGCAGGTTGTTGTGGTGTGTGGGTAGCCAAAGGTCGCCTTTGTTGTGTAAGTGCTGAGTCAGCGGCATGGCTACCAGCCTAGGGTGTCGCTGGTGTCACCTAACACATTACACCATCACCACCACCTGCAGCCACATGTATATTATCCATCCCAATTTTAACATTACTCATTACCCATACCGTCTTCCCCACCATCCACACCATCTTCCCTACCACCCACACCATCTTCCCCACCACCCACACTGTCTTCCCTACCCCCCATGCTGGAAATAAGTCACTCTTGTCTGACTTTTTTGGGTTATCCTAGGTTTTTTGCACATGTGCTGCTATGTGTGATAATCTTTGTAACTGTATTTGTGTAAACCTGAATAAACTTACATGCTGTCTTCCCAACCACCCATGCTGTCTTCCCCACCACCCATGCTGTCTTCCCCACCACCCATGCTGTCTTCCCCACCACCCATGCTGTCTTCTCTTTTCATTATCTGTATCTGGTATCCTGGGCATTGCTTTTGATCATAAACTCTTCAAAACCATGAAATTCATCTTCATTGACACTTCCATCTGTGTTAGAACTATCACTTGGGAAGAGAAGAGTCCCAATTTGCCACGTAGTTAGGTATTCTTTACTGCTAGGCATGGTGAACAGGGCATACTGAATTGGCACTCCCACAATACAATACAGCCTCCCAGATCTTTTTTTATAATGTGCACACTGAGTACAGACCCATTCTTTCACATGTAGGTCTATCAGCTTTCTCCCACTAGATCTGAAGCCGCTAGAATTTTGGCATAATATTACGGCACCAACACTGGCTTCCAAGCCATAATATTGCATCACCGACAGGGAAAGGGTTAACCTTCTGAGGGTCCAAGCCATAGTTCTATGTCATGAGCTCAGCTCAAGTTTGCACCACAAAAACAAATCCTTCAGCACGCAGTAAATGATGAGAAAAAAGTATGACTGTGTTTTTGGATTAAAACACCGACTTGTGGTGTATTATTGTGTGGATTTTTATGATTTTATTCGCAGTTTCTTGGTCTCATTTGATAGAATGGAAGATATATTACAGAAATAGACATGATTTTTATTGGTTTTAGTACTGAAAATAGCTTGAAATTGAGCTGAGAGTAGTGGAAATGTTTGACTTTTGCCGATGTTCAAGAGTAAATAAATACCGTCACGCATCCAATACACGTCAACTGGTGGGTCTAATACACATTCACAAATGCGCTGATATTACTTATACAGTGGAACCTCTACTTGTGAGCGCGTCCACGTGCGAGTTTTTCCAAATACGAGCAATCGATGGGTTGATTTTTTGCTTCCATATGCGAGCAAAATTTCCATATGTGAGCAGACCTCAAGGCAGGTTCCTTGACACTGGTGAGGGGCTCTTGCTCTTGATCTAGGGAATTGTATCTCATTTGTTTGCTGGACTAACTTATTGAAACTTGGACAATGTATGATGGAAAGATGCTTCTTAATGTACACCAAAAATGAAAGAAATCTAAGCTCACTTCTCAGCAATTAGCCACACCTTAGCGGTATTTTTGTATGGTTTTCAATGTTGTATTCTCGTTTTTTTGGTCTCGTTTGATAGAATGGAAGATATATTACAGAAATAGATATGGAAGATATATTACAGAAATGGATATGATTTTGATTGCTTTACCAATATGCAGTTGTGAATGGGTTGACATTATTTATACAATTATTACAATAAGGCATAAGAGTAAATCTTATATTTTTTGTGAATAAAAATTAAATTTTTTTTTTAACCCGTAAAAGGTCCAAACGTATATATATGTTCACTACCGTACTGCCCCAACTTTTTTTTAGAAAAAAAAAAAAACATTGTTGTTTTTTAATAGGAAAAAAGAGCATATGGTACCCAGGCATCCCCAATTATTTTAATATGGTGCACAGTGAGTGCTCGCACCCATTCTCACATGTCTAGGCGACTCAGGCTTATCGTGGCAATGTTAAATGTAGGACACGTAAAACGTATATATACGTTTGGGGCACTAGTGGTAAAAACGTATATATACATTTGAATCGTTTACGGGTTAACAAGTCGGCCATCTCCCACCGAAGCAGGGTGACCAAAAAAGAAAGAAAATCCCCAAAAAGAAAATACTTTCATCATCATTCAACACTTTCACCTCACTCACAAAATCACTGTTTTTGCAGAGGTGTTCAGAATACAACAGTTTAGAAGTACGTATATACATACAAAGATACACAACATATCCCTCCAAACTGCCAATATCGTAAACACCTCCTTTAACCCTTTCAGGGTCCAAGGCCCAAATCTGGAGTCACGCACCAGTGTCCAAGAATTTTAAAAAAAAAAATTTGTTATTTTTTCTTATGAAATTGTAGAGAATCTTTTTGTGAAGGTAATAAAACAAAAAGTACGAAATTTGGTGGAAAATTGACGAAATTATGCTCTCGCGAATTTTGATGTGTCAGCGATATTTACGAATCGGCGATTTTGCCGACTTTGACTCCCATTTTAGGCCAATTACATTATTCCAGTCAACCAAATTCTTAGCTATTTCACTAGTATTACTTCTATTCTATCGATTGAGCACAAGAAATCGCCAAATCAACTGTTTCAACTACAAAATAAAGTGATCGGAAATTGTTAATTTGGCCAATTTAACACAAAGTTCAAAATATTCCAATTTCAAAATAGGGTCCAGAATGAACAATGTAGGCATTCCTGGCACTAAACTAACATTTCCTCTGTTCATTAGTTATGTTTTGAGGCTTTACAAATAAATTCCATTTTGATTTTTTATTCACATAATGAATTTTTATTCACACCAAAAAATAGAAGATTTACTGTTATGCAATACTGTAATAATTGTATAAATATCATTACCATATTTGTGAATGTATATTAGACCCACCAGCTGATGTGTATTAGACGTGTGAGGTCGTTTGTTTACTCTTGAATATCGGCAAAAATTTAACATTTCTGCTACTTTGACCTCAGTTTCAAGCCATTTCCAGTGCTAAAACCAATCAAAACCATCTCTATTTCTGTAATATGTCTTCCATTCTATCAAATGAGACCAAGAAATCGCAAATACAACTATAAAAAACATACGAAAAAACACTGCAAAGTTGCTGTTTTAATCGAAAAATCATGATTTCATTTTTTTTCTCTCATTATACACAGTGTGCTGCAGGATCTGTTTTATGTGGTGCACACATACCACATAGATGTATTCTCTCATATCTAGACCCAAATGTACCACTCACAGTTTATCAGAGTGAGCTGAGCTCATGGCGTAGATCTACGGTTTGGACCCTGAACGTAAAGCCGTAGATCTACGGGACGGACCCTGAAAGGGTTGAAGTGCAGGCATTGTACTTCTCATTTCCTGGACTCAAGTCCGGCTATATAAAATAACCAGTTTCCCTGAATCCCTTCACTAAATATTACCCTGCTCACACTCCAACAGCTCGTCAGGTTCCAAATACCATTTGACTCCACTCACTCCTATCTAACATGCGTGAACACACTTGCTGGAAGTCTAAGCCCCTCGCCCACAAAACCTCCTTTACCCCCTCCCTCCAACCTTTTTGAGGACGACCCCTACCCCGCCTTCCTTCCCCTACAGATTTATACACTCTCCATGTCATTCTACTTTGATCCCTTCTCTCTAAATGACCAAACCACCTCAACAACACCTCTTCAGCCCTATGACTAATACAGTGGAACCTCTACTTGCAAGTTTAATCCGTTCCATGACCTTGCTCGCAACTGGATTTGCTCGTTTGCAGAGTCAATTTCCTTCTTTTAAGTTAATTGAAATGCAATTAATCCATTCCAGTGGAATTCTGTACTTCAATAATTTCGCTAATATCAACTCTACGGCTTATTTATCTATCTCACTTCATCTAATATGACATATTAAACTATGCAAATAACATAGAAACCTGATATATACTCTAAAATGAATAAAATATGTCATTCAAGTAGTGGTATGGGCGGTGTCGGCGGTGGATGAGAGTTTGTCTGGAGACCGGGCAAAATACTTTACGAATAATTTCGCTAATACATGTATCATATATACGGCTTATTTATCTATCACAGTTCATCTAATATGACATAACAAACAATATAAATAACATAGAAACATAATATATACTCTAGAATGAATAAAATATATCATTATGTAACAGGTGGAGGCAGCCACAACTGCTCCCTCTTTGTTGTGGCCTGGTGGCCTGGTGGCTAAAGCTCCCGCTTCACACACGGAGGGCCCGGGTTCGATTCCCGGCGGGTGGAAATATTTCGACATGTTTCCTTACACCTGTTGTCCTGT